GCAGCTGTGACACCGAAACATGGGGGAGCCTCTGGGCATGGCCCCAGGGCTGAACCCTCACCAAAACTGGCTGAGTTTTGTTTAAAAGCACTGTCACCATGAGGAACAGAGCTTGCCACAGCCAGTCACCGTCCCCCCAGGCCCTGTGGCTCCCAGTTTTCCCTGTGCCTCTGTCCTTGGCCAGCGCCAGCTCTGTGGCATCTGGGGAGGTGGGAGATGCCCTGCTGAGCCTGGGGGAGCAGGAGAGAGGAAGGGAAAGCTCTAAGCCAGGATTTCACTCCCCTGTGTGTGCCTCAGCCACAGGGACACCTCAGGTTTTGCTGCTGTCACCTCTTTATAACCCAACCCCCCTAAAACCCACAGCAAGCAGAGCCTGGACAGAGACATCATCCAAGGAGCCCCATTCCACTGCATCTCCGCCCCCAGAGGCTTCTTGCTGCCCTCCAGTTCGATCGATCAGAGCTTTCCTTACACAGCGATCCTCAGAGACAACATCCAGCTATCCCAAATCATTAAATCCTGACTAATGAGGACAAAGCTGCCTGCTGAAGCCACACAGCGCTCTCGCCGAGGGCCAGCGCAGCATCCGCCTCCTGAGCCCGCAGCCCCGGGTTCAAGACTCCATCTCTGCCTCCCGGCTTTCCTGCCTGTTGCTTCCTTTGTGTCCCTCCTCCTCCTCACCCTGCAGCAGAGCTTGGCCCCATGGAGCCAGCTCTGATAAGCGCCACGGATCCAGACTGGCTCTGTGAAGTCTGTCATACACGGAGACCTCCAGAACAGCTGGTGATCTTATCTGGCATTTCTCCAGCCCTGCCTGACAGCTGCATTTGTTCCATGTATCGGGGGGAAGGCAGGACTTTGGAGCCCACAGCTGTCAGCCCGTCCCTCACCTTATCGGCGCTCGGAGGGCTGCACAGCTCCCACCGAGGCCGGGGGCAGGGAAGGATATTCGGCCATTTCGGGAGTGTGACATTATCCGGGGGGTGATCTCAGCACAGGCCTCACAAAGCTGCTCCCAGGCCCCACAGATACACTTTAAACCGCAGAGGAAGGCGGTGAAGGGCAGCAGTGAAAGGCAGGAGTGAATCAGGAATGAATCCTCCAAAGGCCACCGCAGGCAGAGCACAAAGGCTGTCACTCAACGTCCCTTCCCCTTCTCCGTCCCTGTCCCTCTCCCCACATTCAGGGACAGCTCCTGCCCGGGAGGAGTCCCCGAGGGCCTCTTACCGAGCACAAAGTACTTCAGGATCTGCTTCAGCATCTCCTTCAGGATCTCGGGGTGGGTGATGGAGTTCAGCAGCCGCCGTTTCTCCGGCTGGGAGAAGACGATGTTCCCGAGAGCCTCACGATTTATCTCGCCGTTCTCCAGGAGGATCTCGGTGCCAAAGTACCGCAGGATCTGCTGGTGGGCCTTGGAGTGGGGCTGCACC